TGTTTGTGTGTGTGTGTGTGTGCGTGCGCGCGTGTGTGTGTGTCTCACAGACAGAGACACACATATTCATATGCATGTGTCTGTAAATATGTATCTATTTACATATTCAACGTTCATGTCTCCAGAGCAAGTTCTTTTAAAGAAAAGGTAGGTCATGAGCATAATCCACTAAACAAATCTTACATCAAATATGTACATCTTTATGACTTTGACATGATTCCTGTGGCAGTGTGAGCAAAAAAGCCTCAATATTGTAACTGTAAGACATCTTTTTGCTTTGTACAAGTTTAACAGCTGAAAAAGCTGGCATAGGGCCCAAAACTCTGAGTAGATGCAATATACATAAAAATAAATAAATAAATAAATACAAACTTGCACAGTTTGTTGGTGTCCCAATAAAGCATTTAGATATAATTTTATTGTTTTTCCAACATCACTGCAGCGGCCAATAATAGCAAATTAAGAATGTGAATAAATAGAGTCCAATAATACTGTTTCAAGTCTCAGCAAGAACAGACCCCTGCGGGGAGGCATTTGTTAGGAAAAGAACATCCTCTGTATCTGCATATTCCTTTGCATGTGCAGACACTGCTTAAAGGGATAGTTTACCCAAAAATGAACTGTCTTTATTTACTCATTCCAAAACTGTATGACTTTCCTGTGGAACACAAAAGAAGAATCACAGAAAAATATCCTGGCCACTCCTTTCCATATAATGAAAGTGAAATATATTTAAGTGTGAACTAAATGTGATGCTTTCAGACACTTAATTGGATTCTAACTGCAATTAAATTAAAATGTATTGTAGTTTAAATTTAGATTAAATGCAGTTGGCTGAACTTTTTTGACCCACTCAAGAAGGACTTAAGTACGTTTATATGTAATTTCATACTAACTTCTGTTGTCTTTGAAATATGGTTAAAGTACTGCTGAATGTACTGACGAGCATTTATGGTAAACTAAAATATATCTTATTGTCATTTTATTTAAACTTGTATATTGGGTATTTTAAATATATTAGTAATTACACATCTGTAATGGCTTTGCACTTTAGTACATTTAAAACATATTAACTTTAAATGTAATACTGAATAACACACTGCAGTTCAAATTATGATTAAGTACTTTACATGTGCTTTAGTATGTAAGTCAATACATAAAAATAAGTGTACTTTTCTAAGCAGGACAAAAGATTATTAAAACATGATGTGAAATGTCCTTTCAAGTAAAACCTCTAATTTGACATTTTTACAAAGTGCTCTTTTTTAAAAGTTTTCTTAAGTGTGTTAAGAAACACAGCCACGAAAGAGTCTCTAAGTACAATTAAGTGACCTTTTATTTAATTGATGTTATATTATCCGCAACTACTTTTAAGATTTGAAGTACACATTCAATACAGTTAAGCACTTCTTTTCATAAGGGCAGGCTGACATGCTCCAAAATATCAAGATATAAAGTATCAAGTAGTCAATATGACTCACATCCTACCTCAAAGTAGTCACCTAAATCACCCGTTTACTGAGCTTTACTCAATGCCGCAGTCTTCTCATGCCATTGATTTTCTATTGCAATAGAAACAGAGAAAACTGAATGACCTCTGTAACCTGTCGAATCAATCAGCATGGCTTGTTTACACACAATTATCAAAAGTCAGACTCACAAACAAACAGGTGCTCTGTGTGCAGTAAATCAGGAAATGTGAACACAACCTGCAAACACAAAACTCTCTTATCACGCTTGATATTTGCCATCTTTGTTTTGCATGCTCTTTTGTTTAGAAAGATTAAAGAAGGTGAGGGAAGGAATAAATTAAAATGTATTGTAGTTTAAATTTAGATTAAATGCAGTTGGCTGAACTTTTTTGACCCACTCAAGAAGGACTTAAGTACGTTTATATGTAATTTCATACTAACTTCTGTTGTCTTTGAAATATGGTTAAAGTACTGCTGAATGTACTGACGAGCATTTATGGTAAACTAAAATATATCTTATTGTCATTTTATTTAAACTTGTATATTGGGTATTTTAAATATATTAGTAATTACACATCTGTAATGGCTTTGCACTTTAGTACATTTAAAACATATTAACTTTAAATGTAATACTGAATAACACACTGCAGTTCAAATTATGATTAAGTACTTTACATGTGCTTTAGTATGTAAGTCAATACATAAAAATAAGTGTACTTTTCTAAGCAGGACAAAAGATTATTAAAACATGATGTGAAATGTCCTTTCAAGTAAAACCTCTAATTTGACATTTTTACAAAGTGCTCTTTTTTAAAAGTTTTCTTAAGTGTGTTAAGAAACACAGCCACGAAAGAGTCTCTAAGTACAATTAAGTGACCTTTTATTTAATTGATGTTATATTATCCGCAACTACTTTTAAGATTTGAAGTACACATTCAATACAGTTAAGCACTTCTTTTCATAAGGGCAGGCTGACATGCTCCAAAATATCAAGATATAAAGTATCAAGTAGTCAATATGACTCACATCCTACCTCAAAGTAGTCACCTAAATCACCCGTTTACTGAGCTTTACTCAATGCCGCAGTCTTCTCATGCCATTGATTTTCTATTGCAATAGAAACAGAGAAAACTGAATGACCTCTGTAACCTGTCGAATCAATCAGCATGGCTTGTTTACACACAATTATCAAAAGTCAGACTCACAAACAAACAGGTGCTCTGTGTGCAGTAAATCAGGAAATGTGAACACAACCTGCAAACACAAAACTCTCTTATCACGCTTGATATTTGCCATCTTTGTTTTGCACGCTCTTTTGTTTAGAAAGATTAAAGAAGGTGAGGGAAGGAAGAAGAAGAGGGAGGGATGGGGATCGCTATTGATGTGCAACGACGGCCCTGATAAAACGTTATGGGAGCTGAGCTTTACTATCAGCTTGAAGACTCACGCTTCCTCTAAAGACGTCTGGGAAAGGAATGCAAATCTTTCCCGAATTAGATTCCCAGTTGAGGGAATTGGGGAGGCATGAACCTACAGAAATGCACAAACACACACATATATCAGATTCCTCAACTCAGTTAATGGATCATGGATGTCACAAGCATAATGTGATTACCATAGATCCGTTTCAGCCTTCAAAAGGCCACTCAGCTCATGGGGTTGACATTAATGCACATCTCAGCCAAATAAATCCTGTTTCCACCCTGCACTTTTGGAGAAGTTAAAGATGTGGCTTCATCAAAAATATATATACATTTCAAACGACGGACGAAAATAATGACTTATTGGTTGCTGGACGGAATCGAAGGGAGGATGGATAAGGGATGAAAAAGGAGGTAAGGAAAGATGTGCTTTTTTAATTAGTGGCTGTCATCACAACTGTGGCCACATATATTTATCCGGCCGTCTCAAACAAGTTCTATTCAGTGCTAAAATTTAAATAAACAACTATCTAGAAGTGAAATCAAAACTTTAAATGATCTCCATTCCTTTTGTGTTTGAAAGAGTGAGTCACGCAGGCGGCAGGTGAATACGTTGCAATAAAATAATTCACTATAAACTCACTCGGTTTTCCAGGAATGCTCTGAAAGGGAATTTTAAAACAGCCAACATAAAGATTGCCGAGAAACACACAGACTTTTAATAGCTAATACTGTGAAGAGGAGTTAATGGATAGCCACTGTTTCAATAGACCAAACAGTCTCGTGATACAAAAGAATGCCATTGTGTGTATTTATAGTCAGGCTTCTGAGGAAAACACTATTAGTCTGTGCTTTCATCCATGTCTTGAATCCAAAACTACATTTGTACTGGTAACATGCAATGCGTTTACTCCATAACAGATCATTTTGACATCATTAAGTGGTAGTATTAATTGTATTCATATACTGGAAATATTTGGAATAATAATAAGAAGGATTAACGTAAATGTTTTAGGCAATATTCCAATTTTCACACATTTAATTCTTTGGTATGATAGTCAACACATCAAAATAAGTGTACTTTTTTAAAGTATGACACAACATTATTAAAACAATAGTTTAAAATGTACTTAAAAGCAAAACATTTCATTTTACAATATTATTACAAAGTGCACTTTAAGTGTGCTACTTAAATGTGTTAAGAGAAAAGTACTTTCTTTTTTCAGTCTTATTATTATGTCTAAGTACATTAGTCTTTTAA